CTTTCCTTCCTGAAGCAAACTGTTCTTCTTTATATAGCCCCCAGCTGGGCTCTCATTAGCCCTCCTGGCCTCAGCTGAGTCTTTGCTTTCAGCCCCTGCTCTGGGCTTGCGTTTTGCCCTTAAAGGGTCAGTGCAGGGCAGGTGCCCTGTCACAGAAGGTCAAAGGGAAAGTTTCCTTCTTTCCAGTAATTCTCCTATGACTCTCATCTACTGACAAAGAGCACCTGGGTAAGAAGAGGCACAAGCTGGTAGCCCCATCTCCCCTGTAGAAAATATGAGTCACAACTGCTTTTGAGAACCATGAATGGGGAAAGACAGGGAGAAAATTCACTCATATTTTTCTAGAGAGAATCTTGAGATCACCATTGTCCGGGATACCTGGAAGATCCCAAAAAGTCATTGGGATTGCTTCTGGGGGTGAGAGGTGTGATACATTTAGAATTGCCTTGTGCAAGGCCTCTTATGCATTTAATTCACATAATAGCCAATTCACAGACCGCAGAGACCAGATGTTGCTGTCAATGAGAGTGGCAAAAGCCAAGTGCAGATCTACCATGAAAGATGTTCCTTTTGCATAAACTCCCTGTAAGAGTTTAGAAGCTTCAGTCGGGTCAGTCCACTAGCGTACAGATGTTCATCTGAATTGTACCTGGACTTTTGCATATGATGTGTGTATAAAATATACTTCAGTTTAACATTTGCCATAAAACTGTGTGTGAATATGGGAGGAGGGACCTAAATGATTTCCTGTAAAGCAAGACTTGGCAGTAGTCTTTTTTCCCCTCCTTTGTCTGTTTTTTAAACGGAAAATGTAAAATTACTTGACTTCATAATGATTTTTCCATCCTACCAGCTCTGGGGCTGGATTTAGTTAAATTCTCAGATTTTTATACAGTGATCAACATTAAACATTTCCCAGTTTTGCCTGATAATACTATTACTGTATTTATGATGTTCCCTATAATTAATAAAGAATACCACATAATGTCACCTAGATCCAAAGGCAAGTGAAATGATTTAAAGGCAATTTAAAGCTATGAAAAATTACTTATCTACTCTGTCTAATCTGATGTGGGCATTTCTAGGAAACATGTCACTGTGGTATCTGATAGACTCTGTTCTCACTATATTATCTGCATCCGTAGTTTAGTAAGATGTCTGTTGCAAAAGTGATGGTCTGAATAGTTAAGTATGAAGACTGAAAACACTTTTTTTTGTCTGTTGTGGGTACCAAAGACCAGGCTCATTTTTGAGAGAAATGAGTCCCTTTGCAGTATCAGTTGACAAGTAACATGCACTGGTTAAGATTCATAGAGAAAATAGAATAAATAACTCACTAATGATTGTATAGGTGCAGCTGGAAAGGCAGCTATGTTTCAATCATCAGATAGGTTGGTACGTTTCTAAATTAGCACATTTATTTGACTGTCTGATGCCTTATGATTTTTAGTGCATAGAAAAATGTTATAACATAGACAACCTTCCTCAAGGCATCAGTTTTTCTGGGAATACATTCAGTTCAATAAACCAGTGTCTTTTCCCCCTAGATCTTTTAAAGGAAATAAATACAAAACTTCATTAACATAACGTTCTGGTTAGATTTTAAGTTAATTGCCCCCGCTCAAAGAAGCTCAAAGAGAAAAGCAGAGCTGAAAAAAATAACTTTTTAAGAGGAAGGTCTGTGGAGAAAGACAGTTCAAGGCCCAAAATAGAGCAGCTGCAGGAAGGAAGCACAAATCCCATACAAACTGAAAGGAAGAGGAATCCTTTCCACAATAGTGAGAGAGAAGAGAGAAGGAGACCTGGGGGGAGAAAGGACAAGCTGCCTTATAGACATACAAGCATCAGGAAAAAACAAATATAAAGACAGATTATAAAGGAACAGATGTTTTCCCCCCATGGGTATTGATTCTAATATTACCCATAATCCCTCAAAAATGTGTTGTACAATTATGTAAATAACACTTGAAATTACTATATGTATTTGTTATGCTGTAAAAAGTAAGCACCTTACCATTCTTTACTATGTGATTTGGTTACATTTATATTATAAAATTAAATTTCTGATTTTGTAACATACTCTATAAAAAGCCTTTACTTTGGAACAGTGCCAGAATGTGAAACATGATATTGAATGGAGTAAATCTAGGCAAGGAGGAGGATGTTTTCAAAATCGTTTCAACTGTGTTAGATTCATACAGTCACTTAGACAATACAGTGATGGCTGTAGAAAATGTTTACATCTTCAGTAGGCTTTATCATGATTTTACTTCCGTGATTTTGTTGGGGCCCTGAGAAATACACTCATTACCTCCTCTTTAATTTGCATTTTTTGCCTTTCTAATCTGTCATGATTAGGGTCTTACCAAATTCAAAGCCATGAAAAACACATAATGGACTGTGAAATCTGGTCTTTTGTGTGCTTTTACCTTTTACTATACAGATTTTATGAGGGAGACCAGCATTTCTCAAATTGGGGATCCTAACCCAAAAGGGAGTTGAGGGTTTTGCAAAGTTATTTTAGGAGGGCCACAGTATTGACACCTGTGCTTCTGCACTCCTGTCAGAGCTAGGCAACTTAAGAGTGGTGGCTTTTGGCCAGGCCCCAAGCTTTGAAGGCAGCACCTTGCCAGCAGCACTGCAGAAGTAAGGGTGGCAATGCAATACCATGCCACCCTGACATCTGTGCTGCTGCTTTCAGAGCTGGATGGCCAGAAAGCGGTGGCTTCTAACTGAGAGCCCAGCATTGCTGCAGCAGATTAGAAATAAGGGTGGTAAAATCATACCCTGCCATCCTTACTTCTGTGCTGCTAGTGGCAGTGGCTTGGCTGTCAGAGCTGGGTCTCTGGCCAGCAGATGTAGCTTTGGCTGCCTAGATCTGAATGTAGTACCGCTGCCAGCAGTAATGCAAAAGTAATGATAGCAGTAACACAATCTCTTCCCCACAATAACCTTGAGGACCTCTCCTCCCCCCCCACACACACACACACTCTCTCCTTTTTTGGGTTAGGATCCCTATAATTAAAGCATGGTGAACTTGACCAAACTGAAATGAGAATTTGGTAGGTCCTTAGTGATGATTTATGTTTAAGCCACTATCCTTTCTGTAAAGGGAAACTATGCCTTATTAATCTAGTAGAGTTCTTTGGGGGGAGGGAGAGGTGGGATCAACAAGCATGTGGACAAGGAGGATCCAGTGGATATAATATACTTAGATTTCCAGAACACCTTTGACAAGGTTCCTCACCAAAGACTCTTAAGTAAAGTAAGTTGTCATGGGATAAGAGGGAAGGCCCTTTCATGGATTGAAAACTGATTAAAAGACAGGAAACAAAAAGTAGGAATAAATGGTCAGTTTTCAGAATGGAGAGAGGTAACTAGTGGTATCCCCCAAGGGTCCGTACTGGGACCAATCGTATGCAACCTATTTATAAATGATCTGGAGAAAGGGGTGGCAGCTGTGAGGTGGCAAAAATTTCAGATGATACTAAACTGCACAAGATAGTTAAGACCAAAACAGACTGTGAAGAGCTTCAAAAAGATCTTTCCAAACTAAGTGATTGGTCAACAAAATGGCAAATGAAATTTAATGTTGGTAAATGTAAAGTAATGCACTTTGGAAAAAAATAATCCCAACTATACATACATTATGATGGGGACTAATTTAGCTTTAACTACTCAAGAGAGAGATCTTGGAGTCATTGTGGATAGTTCTCTGAAAACATCCACCACAGCAGCAGTCAAAAAAGTAAACAGAACGTTAGGAATCATTAAAAAAGGGATAGAGAATAGGACCGAGAACATCTTATTGCCTCTATATAAAATCATGATATGCCCCCATCTTAAATACTATGTATAGATGCGGTCACCTCATCTCAAAAATGATATATTGCCATTGGAAAATGTTCAGAAAAGGGTAACAAAAATTATTAGGAGTTTGGAAGGGTTGCCATATAAAGAGAGACTAAAAAGACTGGACTTTTCAACTTAGAAAAGAGGAGACTAAGGGGGGATATGACAGAGGTCCATAAAATCATGACTGATGTGGAAAAAAGTGAATAAGGAAACATTATTTACATATTCCCACAATATAAGATCTAGGGTCTCCAAATGAAATTAATAGGTAGCAGGTTTAAAACACACAAAGGGAAGTTTTTCTTCACACAGCACACAGTCGGCCTGTGGAACTCCTTGCCAGAGGAGGTTGTGAAGACCAGGACTTTAACAGAGTTTAAAAAAGAACTAGATAAATTCATGGAGGTTAAGTCCATCCATGGATATTAGCAAGGATGGGTAGGAATGGTGTCCCTAGCCACTGTCAGAGGCTGGGAATGGGTGACAGGAGAGGGATTACTTGTTCTGTTCACTCCCTCTTGGGCATCTGGCATTGGCTACTGTCGGAAGACAGCATACTGGACTAGTTAGACCTTTGGTCTGATCCTGTGTGGCTGTTCTTATGTCCTTTTGCCCATGGAGAACTAGACTTCAGAGTTATCAATGTCAGTCTTTAATCAGTGAGCAGAGCTGCTGCTAAGTAATACAAAGTGCCCATACATCTTGATGTCAAGGGTTTGATCTTGCAATGAGTAAATGAAACTCTTGTCAACTACACAGCAAGCGAAAGATCAGGTTTTACATATGTCACGACAGAAGCAGTCAAACCTCTGTTTACTCGGGGAACAGGAGACCAGAACTCAGAGCCAGTCTCCTTGATGGTAGTGGTCAGCAGCTCCTTCAGCACCTATGGAACACTAACATGAGGCTTTAATGGGAAATAAATATGACAAATATTGCTTATTTATTGTAGCAGAAACATTTTGATCAACTAGTAAAACAAGAAAATATACTTTTTTGAGTACTGTAATCATTAAAGACTATGATATTATAGCAGTTATTGTGCAAAAGAAACTTTTTACTCATAATATAGTTTATACAAAACTGTCAGGTTTGGATGTTCTTTTTCTGTTACAGGACAAATAATAATAAATATCTGATTTCAGGGCAGATTGATTAACTGGAATCGACTCTTTCCTCCTTTGCGTCAAAGACGTAATGCAAATTATCAAGATAATCGTCATTCTGATCAAGAAGCACCACCTCCTGCTGAGGTTTCTGAGGAACAAGTAAGTATTTTTGTGTTTTAAAATAGAATTTTAAAAATGGAGGAGTGGTTGGATACATGTACCATTGATGACAATCAGTAACATATTAACTGTTGAAAAGATTATCACAGTTACAATGTTGGTAGCTCACACTAGAATGCTAGCGGTTGGTAGCTCACACTAGAATGACAGTTACACCGTGAGGACAGATTGAACTAATGCAATTGTATTTATGGGATTAGAGTTACAACTGGTTTTGTGTATAGTTTTTGTTTTGTTTTTGTTTTTTTAAGTAAAACCACCAGTTAGTTTTACTATTATGATGTGGCAAACAAATTGAGAATGACAAATAGCTTGTATTATTCATATTGAATAAGGGTGATGAACATGTGTGGACCTTTTGTCATGGAAGCTTTGATTCTCATCATTGAGCTCATCATCTACAATTTCCACACACTGTCATGTTTAAGCACTGAGCCACAATAGATAGTACAGAAAAAAATGTAATGCTAACTGTGAATGGCTACATGTGCACAGTATAAAACTCAGTAAGTACAGAACTGGTTCAGTGTCATAGAACAGGAATTGCTATGTTCTCTTCCTTCCCAATGGACCTAGATATGTTAGGCTAGATTTTTAATGGGAATTTGGCACCTAAACAATTTTAGAAATTTGCCCCGATGTCTTTATTTTGGTTAGCAATTGCGGTTTTGGAGGGGAAGGTTATTTCTTAAGTAATTTCAGAAGTTAATGGTTGTCTTGTTTGCTTATTACGGTGGTTTTTTATGTGATCAGGCCACCCCAAGTTCTAGCTGGTCTTACAGTTACTTTGTATGGCTGCATAGGTCACATTCTGAAATGTGGACATGGTGTGGCTGCATTGGTCCCAGGATATTAGAGAGACAAGACGGGTGAGGTAATATCCTTTGGTTTGAAAAAAAAAACCAGACTAATTGCACAGAGCTTCCTCTTCTTCAGATCCTATGTAAGCTTGAAAGCTTACCTCTCTCTCCAACAAAACTTGGTCCCATAAAAGATATCACCTGACCCACCTTCTGTATCCTGGTCGCATTGCTTTTGAATGTTGATATGAGTCAAGATTTTTTTAAGAAAGAACAGAAATTGCTTTTGTCTGCACTATCCAGACTTCCCTAATGAAGATAATTCTGAATGAAATACAGCAGTATAAAATTAGAGGTGGCCTGAAATTGAAATCTTAACTCTGAACCTCTTTCTCTAGTGTTCATAGGGTAACAGATTATTGATCTTCAGATCAGAAACTTCACCTGTGATTTTGATTCTGAATTTCATCCAAAGCCAGATAGGCCAGTTGAGCTACACCCAAAACTTTCAAGAACAGTTTGTGAGATGAGTCCAAATCTGAACTCTTGTCTTTGGTTCATACTTGAACCACATACCCTAGTCTCTATTTAATATGCCTTTGGACCTAAAAAAAGTAGCTCCTAAGCTTATCTTTAAGTAAAATATAAATTGTCAAATTTTCCATTTGTGTAAATTCATATAGCTGTGTTAAAATTAATAACATTAATGGCAAAGGATCTAACTCAAAAGCATCTTGGATTTGATAAGTCAAATGGTTATATTTACATGGTTAAGCATGGTTTATCATGGTTAAGCGTTTTGCTAAATAGAGACTGTTTCAATAAATATATTTAAAGTTTAATACACGCTTAAGAGCTTTGCAGAATTAGGTCTTTAGAGTTCACTTCATAGCTAATGACTTAGAATGCTGCCCAGTTACCAGTGAAATGCCAAACACAAAATCCTTTGAGTGGCATACATTAGAATGGAGTAAAATTGGATTTTAAAGACCTTGGATTTCTCAGTTTTATGTTTTCTTAGAAATATATCTTTCCTTTTGTTTTCTTAGAAATATATCTTTTTAGCAAGATGTGTGTCTAGTTTTCTTTTCAGTCATTGGTGGTGCTTTTATACCTCCTTCACTTGTACATTTTTGAATTCCTTAAATTACCATTTGTAGAGAACATCTCTAGTGTTTCCTGGAAAAAGTGTATTGAATCCTGTTGAGGCATACTTACATGAAAGGAGTTTTATGTCATCAGTTTGTTCCCTGTGGTGCTTTACTGGATATTCCTGCAAATGTGATCTTAGCCTCTCATGTCTCCTTTAAAGTTAGAATTAGGACTGTCAAGTGATTAAAAAATTAAATCGCATTCATTGCCTCTTTGAAATGCTGTGGAATCCCCAGCTGCCCCTGGCTCAGTGCAGTGCTGCCCCTTGGAAAGGCCACCCCGGCGTTTCTAAGGGGCAGCACTGTGGGAGCTCGGGGTCAGCTGGAGTCCCCAGCTTGGTGTTTCTAGCCGTCAGCACTGCTGGAATCCAGGGTCAGCTGGAGTCCCCAGCTGACCCCAGCCTCCATGCAGCACTGCCCCTTTGAAGTGCTGCGGCTGCGCTTCAAAGAGGCAGCATAACACAAAGCTGGGGATCAACTGGGCATTCCAGCTGATCCCTGGATCCTAATATGCTGCCCCTTTGAAGCACCGGGGCAGTACTTTAAAAAGGCAGCGCAGCATTAACACCTGCAATTAATGCATTTAAAAAATTAGCATGTTAATCCTACCCTGTGTTAATTGCAGGCATTAACACACATCATTTGACAGCCGTAGTTAGAATTCATGAACGCTACCATAAAACCTTTCTGCTGGAGTATACTTCAGTGGTTACCTTTTACTCCAGTTCTTGCTTGCCTTCTCGTAATAAAAGTAATCCCCACCGAAAAAGTAAGAACTGGATGTAGTGCATTCATATGTTTTTAACACCTGCTTCCCCCAGTGTCCAGACGTGATGCTTCTGCTTTTTTACCTCTCAGTGTCTCCTGCAGACTGCCTCTGTAGGCCTTCCATGGCTTAGCCTTCTTGGTGGGTCAGTTCAAACCCCTTCTGGGGTACAACAAACTGAAATAGAAGAAGTTTCTCGTCCCCTTTGGGCTAGTTATAAATAAAATGGTTTATTTATCCAGCTTGAGTTTAATTCCCCTCTGTAATTAAATCAGCAGGGTTCCTCCTGAACTCCTGTTGCTGATCATAGCCAGCAGTAGGCTCTGGCCTGAGCTGGTTCCTTTGGTTGTTGGCCTAAGGAGCCTCTCTCCTCGCTCCACAAGCTCCACCACAGAACTGCCTCAGACGTAGCAAGTAGCTCCTTTCAGGTCAGCCTGCTAGGCCTTGATTTACTGTTGCTGATCCCCTGCCCTTCTAGTTGTTGGAGGACAAGATTACAGTGGTTCACAAAATAGCTGCTCCTGAGATGCTTCTCTAGGCAAGCCCAGAGGCATGGATGCGGATTTTGTGGATGCTCTGGAGCTATTTGGTGGCTCAAGGTGGAGGTTGGGGGAAGGCAGGGAGCAGCGAGCGATGGATGGACAGGGACCTCAGGGAAGGGGAAGAATGGGGGCTGGAAGAGGCAGAGTGAGAGTTGCACCTTGGAGGAAGGAGACAAAGTGAAGGTAAGGGTCTTGGGGAAGAATAGAATGGGGCAGGAAGAAGTGGAGCAAAGGTGAGGCCTCAGGGCAGAGCAGGGGTGGAGCATCCCCCAGGATGGAAAAGCTCTGCCCCATCCAAGAAATGCATCCGCTTTTTCGGAACAATTTCCAAAAAAGTGGGCGCATTCTTTCGACATCTCTGTATGTGGAATAAAGGATGTTCCAAAAGAGGAGGTTTTTCCAAAATTTGGCCCCGTGTAGATGGGCCAAATTTCGGAAAAGCCTCTTCCAAAAAAAAAAGGCAGAAAGAGATGCACAAATTGTGGTTCATAATTTGTGTATCTTTTTCCGATATAACTCTGCAATCTAGACATAGCCTAGCAGAGCAGTGGATTCTGCAGAAGAGGGCCATGAAGACCTAATAAACCTCCCATCTAGGGTGACCAGGCGTCCTGATATTATCCTGAACAGTATCATGGGTTTTTTCTTGGGGCAGCTCTGGGGGGGAAATTATCCTGATTTTTCACACTTGCTGATCACCTGCCCTCATTACAGCGACTTTTTAGATGCTGCTGGTTATGAGGTCTACTTTGATGCGAGACTACTGCTGCACAGAGGTCAAAAGTAGCATAATTCATTCTTCTCATAAAGATGAAAGGGAAGACTACACAAAAATGATCAGTATTCTGTTTGACAAACTGAAACTTTATAAGTTTTAAAAAACTTGAGTAATACATGTTAGATTAAATCATAGAAAGAGATTTTTTGAAATCCAGGATAAATGTTACAATATTGAAAGTGCTGCCAGAAACCCAACGTGCTCCTTTTGTGACATCATCCAGTCAACACTGTGTTCAGAATATGCACAGCCTGCATTTCTAGATACAAATAAATGCTAGATTCATTCTATTTTATGCTATTTACTAATTTCTCACTATTTAATATTTTTATCAGTGATCTGGAAGAAATCCCCACTCATAACATTTTCAGACAACATAAAGATTGGGAAAATGATAAATAATGAGGAGAATATACCTACATAACTTGATAAATTGTGCACAAGGAAATAATATGAATTTTAACATGGTTAAATGTAAACATACTGTGACAAAGCTCCTATGAAAACTCAGTAGGTCCTGGCAGATTTGCTTGCCCAGAGGCTCACAGCAGCCCACAGTTTTAGGCACCACACCTAAGGCATTAGTTTGCTGTTTGTTGATCTCTTTTCATCATTAGCCACCATATTCTAAAACAGAGAGCAAACTCCACAGCCCTTATCCCTAAGTGGAAATGTGGAGGTCAGTGTTGGGGGGATCCTGGGCCCACCCTCTACTTCGGGTTCCAACCCAGGGCCCTGTGATAGTAGCTACCTGTGTGAATCCCCTACTCCTGCTGTAAGACAGCTCCAAGATCCCTGGGCTACTTCCCCACACCTTCCCCAGCACCTTCTTTCTCTCTGGCTCATCCTCCTAGTGTTCACATGTTGTCTCCTTTTCTCCCACTCCCAGCAGCGCTATCCTCTCAGCTACCCACACACCCCAACTGTAGGCAAAGCTTCAATAGCCAGTCTGAACTGGTTTTCTTAATTACCCCCAGGTGTCTTAATTAGCTTAGGCTGGCCTGGCCGTACAAGTCTGGTCAGTTAGCCCCAGGTGTTCCCACTGCCCCTGATTGCCTCTGCTGGTTCTAAACAAGCCCCTCCCTGTTACTCTGGGAACAGAGATCTCCTCTGTCTGAGGCTAATGTTCCACCCTGTCTCTGACTTGACCCTGTCAGTCTCTACTCTGCTCTCCCCTACACTCCTCTCTTTTCCAGAAAGGGTGTGGGGGGGAGAGGGTTGCTACTACTATTAATTTATGCACACCCCATCGGTGGCCCCACAAAATCATGGGACCTCCTCCTGGCTATGGCCAAGATAGCAATTTACAAGACCAGGGAGCAGAGGCGGGTTGAAGGAAGGGCCTGAGACGGTGGGGCCTGTTTCTACTTCTGTATCCGTTCACGCATCCAAGCAGAGTTCCACTGGGTGGCGTTTGCTGGCTCTCTTGAGGCCTTTGAGGGGCAGTGGGTTCTGTCCAGGATTCTCTGCTCACTGTCCCTGTCCAGCTCCCTTATTTTAGCCCTTTGACCTCCACACCCATCCCTGTTTTTCTCTTTATTTGTCCCCCATAGTCATTTGGTGTTCTGGGCTCTGTGGAGTCTCCCCATAGGTTGGGAGGAGGTCCTGAAGATGTGGATGGGCTTATGCCTCCCAGCCTCCAATAGGACTACTTTTTTATTGCCTTCTGTTGTGACCCTGTCACAATATACATCTAGGAACAATGAATGTAAGCCATGCTACCATGATGGTGGGTTTTTATCCTGACAAGCAGTTACTCTGGAAAAAATAGGGTCACAGGGGATAATCAGCTGAACACGAGCTTCCAATGCAACACTGTGGTCAAAAGGTCTTAATGTGATTGCTGGATGCATAAGCAGCAGAATCTCAAGTAGGAGGAAAGAGGTTATTTTACCTCTGTTTTTGGCACTGATGCAGCCACTGCTGAAATGTAATTCTGGTGCCCACAATTCAAGTAGGTGGTTGATATCTAGAACAGGGTTCAGAAAGGAGCCATGAGAACGATTAAAAGATTAGATGATAGACTCAAGAAGCGCCATCTGTTGAGTTTAACAAAGAGAAAGTTAAGGCATGACTAGATGCAAACATTTGATAAAGACCTCCTCTATCTAGCACAGAAATGTGTAACAAAATCCAATGGCTGGACGTTGAAACTAGACAAATTCAGACTAGAAATAAGACATAAATGTTTAAAACCAGGGTAATTAACTGTGGGAACAACTTACCAAGGATCATGGTGGATTCTTTATCACTGGCCATTTTTAAATCAAACTTGGATTTTTTTTTTTTAACAGCTATGCTCCGGTTAAAAAGGAATTTATTTTTGGGGAAGTTCTGTGGCCTGTGTTACACATGAGGTCAGACAAGGAACCACAATGTCCTTTGGAAAACTATCAATCTTGCTGATGCAGAAAAATTCATATTTTCTGTTACACCCTAGAGAGAGCAGGCAGTTGTTCTGATATATATATATATTCCCTTCTCTCAGTGTTTCCTTTCGGGGAAGGGCAGCTTTAATTTTCACTGCAGGCTCTGTAGCAGCCTGCCAGAAATACTTTGAGAAATCAAAGTATCTCCCAGCCTGTTTGTAGCTGCCTGTTTCTGAGACTATGCTGTCTGGTTTCAGGCCTTACTACTAGTAAGGCAGGGATGGGGAACCTTTTTTGGGGTGGGGACCGCTGACCCACAGAAAAATCATTTTGGGGCTGCACAAAAGTGAGACGCAAAAAAAAAAAAAAAAGAAAACTAAACCCTCACTGACGTGGCCCTGTACTGAGAAGCAGAAAGATACTCCCCTTATTCCCTTCACACACCAGAGCCGAGGGGGACCCAGACTAATACATTTTGTGTGTTCCAGCTCCACAGAGGGATGGAGGAGGGCTAGCACTAGCGTGGGTTTCACAATGATGGGGAGGAGCCCAAGCCTCAAGGGCCAGATCCTGGCAAGCCAGAGGCCTCATCCGGCCCCTGGACCGTCTGAATTAGAAATAAAACTATTTCAAAAGAAATCAGCCCGATTTTCATTTATAACTAAACTCAACAAAGAAATGTAGGTTTTATATTTACTTCGGCTTGAAATTGGTATTTATGCAGTGAACCTGGCACTTTGTGTTATAATATAAAATGAAATAGGATTTAAATGTAGTACTGTTTGAGCCAGTATGTGCAAAAAAGAAAGTTGGTAAGCAGACAAAAAGTTAGTCATCAAAATTATATTGTGCCATGTGAAAGATGCGCCTCAAATACCTACTAACAATTAAATGACTGTTTTATTGCAAACTGTATTTTATCAACTGTTGTAATGTTTTCTGGCTCACCCCACCGTATTGTATCAGAAAAGTGTTTGGTATTTAGAATATAGATAAGTAATTGCACAGACTGTTCTGTAATAAACCAAACTGTTTTGCTGCTATATGATAACTCTAAAAGGAAAAATTAGTAAAACTGTAATTAAAAGTGATTTTGTATGGTTTCTCTTACAGGTTGCACGACTTATGGAGATGGGATTTTCCAGGGTAGATGCTTTGGAAGCTCTGCGAGCTTCAAATAATGACCTTAATGTAGCTACTAACTTCCTACTGCAGCACTGATGTTTGTTTATCTACTATCTGCAAGAGGATCAAAGCCACCTGATGGATAGACTCTCAAAGAGCAAAGCCCAGAAGTAGAAATATCTGCCATGAGCAGTGTTTCAAAGTAGTAAGAATAAATGACGCTGACTGTTCCCAAACCCCCCTATAAAGTGGTGGTTACAGTTGTGATTATCTTTTAAAAATAATGTTTTTATCTCTATGTATTTCAAGATATCAAAAATATTTTTTTAAAATTTGGTGACTCTTTTAAATCAGCATTCGACATTTTATCATTCCTAATAAGTAGGAAATGCAAAGGAAACACAAACTGCTATGAACACTAAATTTTTACCTACCAGGAAAAATTACAATCTTTTATTTTTCTCAATTTATTTGCTCTAAAACTGTAACTCTACATTATTTTATGGTATTTTGATTTTTAATCATAGTAATGAAAAATTTTCATCCATTTTGGGGGAAATGTTACTTCCATAAAGAATTAAGGGACTAACATGTCATTCATCAAGAAGTTTTATTGATTTTTGTAATATTTTATCTCTCTCAAAATCCTTTTAAAATAAGTCAGTCAGTATATAATCCATGTAGGATATGACTATTGTTATGTGCGTATTGCAGATTACATTAAGTGACCAGTAGACATTTAAACTATACAGATTGTGTAGATGACTGTACAGACCAGAGAGCATGAAAATACTTGAATGGAAGCAGTAAAAGGGAATTAGCTGATTGCAATAAGATCAGGCCTCACATTAAGCTGATTTGGGCAGATTTGCATGGTAATATGATGGATGTGTTTAGTGTGCCGAATGTTAGTTCCGTTTTTTTTTGAGCAGGCTATAAATATCTTTAAAAGAAAAACATAAACCAGGCAGGGGAAAAGACCATTCTTCTGGTTCTGCCTGGTCTTAGTTTTCCACTGTCATCACTTCAGACTATTCTAAGTGTGCTGTTGGAGGCTGCACTTACTGTCAGTCACTGTCTGGAAGCCATTGATTCAAGTCAATGGGATTCTAATGGCAGAGGATCGAGAAACAGATTTTAGAGTTTAAAATGATAAATGTACATACTTCACCTCATTTTCTGAAGTGTTGTGCTTCCACAGCTTGGGAGTTTCTGGGTACTGCACCTCTGCAAATCAAGCCTGTTTTTATAAAGGTGCCAGTGCTAGTCCATAGTTAAAATTCAGTTGAGTTTTGCACTTACATGCATAATATATACGGGTGTAATGTGTATTTTATATATTGCATGTTACATGTATTATATATAAATAATTGAGAACAGGACTGGAGATGTCAAGAAGAATGAAGTGTTAGGGGTAAAAAATTGTGAGGGAAGAAGAAAACAGAGGGGAGAGAGGCAAGAGAAATATATTTTAGAAACCAAAATGAGGGGGCAATTTGAATTTCAGAAAATGGCAACCTGACTATATACTTGAAAATGAACAGAAAATAACATTTTTTTCACATTTGGATATGTTTTACCTATTATAATACAATGTGTTATGTTCTTGTCTTAATTTTCATTGGATTGATTAAGAGATTTGAAATGACACCATTATTCTAGCTTGTGAACATTTTAACATGACGTATTTGCATGCAGCTACAATCTCTTTGTAGACTATGCCTGCATTTGTAAATGAAAAATTATTTTGTTCACATAAAAATGATTGGCATTTTTCCAGCATGAATTAAAGGAGATTTCTGGGGTCTGTTAAGTTTGAAAACTGACTGGATTACAAAGAGAAGCCCTTGAACCTTAACAAGCCCATTCAAAATAGCATGATAATTTGCAGCTCAGGGAAAACTTTTGGAGTATACATTTAAGAAGTCCTGCTTCTTTTTATTTTAAAATACTTGTAGTCTCCCAATTACGATAATTAGAATTATATAATAGGTAGCCATAATGTGCAATACATAATTATTGGTAGAATCAGTTACATCAATTTTCTATGGACAGAATTATTTATTTACCTCTTTCCCAATGTAAAGTAAACAATTAAATACTACAGATCTCCAAGTCTACGTCTACATGGTAGTGCTATTTCAAGGCTACGTCTACACTGCAGTGCTATTCCGCATCTTTTGAGCACACCCATTATTTCAAAGTATAACGGGCTTGCTATTCCAATGTCCTAGTAAACCTCATTCCACGAGGCGTAAGGGACGTTTCGGAATAACCATTTATTTTGAAATAAGTGCTGTGCAGACGGTGCCAAATTTCAAAATAAGCTATTTCGAAATAACATCAAAATAAGATACGTAATTTGTGTAGCTCAAGTTGTATATCTTATTTCAAACTACAGAGCAGCGTAGTCACACCCCTTCTGTCGTACTACAGAAATAAGGGCCTATAGAGCTGCATCCATTTGCACACAGATTTTACACTCAGGATTTGCAAATATGTTAAGTATAGTGTAAATTGAGGACATTACTAGAGTATTCACAGAATAATATTCTGTTGGTCTGAATCTTTTTTATTTTTTAATTATAGTGCAATAGCATCCAGAGGTCCTAATCCAGACCTAGGCTCATAGTGCTTGGCACTCTACAAAGGTATAAAAGTATTGGATGAAATCCTAGTCTTGCTGAAATCAATGGCGAAACTCCCATTTGACTTCAAAAAGGCCAAGGTTTCACCTATGGCTACGATCTCAAAATGCTTATAGTCTTTTATAGTTTCCATACAAAAACCTTTTTTTGGTTTTTGATCCCAGACTCTACTGAAGAAATTTTCAAGGTGATTCATTCAGAAAAATGAGACTCAGAGAACTTAAAGCTGGAAATGATCTCTTGGATCAACTGCTGTAGACCATCTCCATGTCTCAGCATGATAATTCTTTAGAGTGTATTTACTAGTGTGTTGTCCAGTCTGATTTTTACTATCTCAGAAGATATGGTTTCCATGTTGAGTGCACATCAGACATTTTTTTGCAAAGGCAAAAGAAAGTAACTGTGCTTTCTGTTTAGCAGAGTACAAAT